CATTTCTTAAACTAAAGCTTAATTCTATTCTAAGAAATTTATTTTTATAAATTAATTAAAATGTTGAAACATTTAACAGTGGCTTTAATTATTTAAATATAAGTTTATCTATTATTATATAAATCAAGGGGCAGAAGGGATAATTCATAGTCAGCTTAGGCTTTTTTTTTTATTGGTCCGACATCTTTTCTTTCTTTTATTATAAATAGAACTTCCATCCATTAAAAAAAAATTTGGCAGCACTTAACTTAACATCAACATTAATGTAAATGTAATGTAAATGATGACGTTGATGTTAACGTTAACTACTCTATATACACAATGCAATCATTTTTGTAACACTTGAAATTTCCTTTTTTTTTTTTTGAAAAAAACCAGAAAAAAGAAAAAAAATTTGATTGAAAGATGTGTAATTTTTAAATTCAAGATATATTATTATTAAGAATATTGAGGCTTCAACTTCCAATAGCCTTTGTTTTTATCAATAATAGCAATTTTGTTTGTGATTCTCTCAAGAATCTCTTTATTTCTTTCATCAATATTAATTTTATGATGGAATTTTTAATGATGCCTGTAATATCAAGCTTTTCTTCCCTATTTCTTTTTCAGTGATTAAGTTAGCACCATGAGAGCCATTAGCAGCACTATCAACAGGCACAATTGTTGATAGTTGTTGAGCAACAGTTATATGGGGCATGGACAATAGTGTTCCATGTCGCAATCCAAAAAAGGAAACAAAATGGTTGTAAATGTGGTTGCAACCAGTGGTTGCAATTGTTTTTATATGACGCAAAGATGGTAGCAACCATCATCAAAAGTTGCAGCCGGTATCCTTAATGGACAATAGAAAAGGGCATAACTGCAAATCATGATTTTGAGAAAATTGAAAAAAAGATCTGCATTTCAAATAATTTACTATTGTTTTTAAAACTTTAACAGAAAATATCTCAAAATTTTATTAAGTAAAGTGGGTATGGTTTCTAAGCTAAAATTAATCCTTGTAGCAAATTACGCGTAGGAATGTTGTTAACTCAAAATCACGATTTTGGTAGTTATGCCCTTTTCTATTGTCCATGCCCATATCCTTTGGCAACAATTTTAATTTCTTCTTTTCTATTTTCTTTTCTGAACCAGCAGTTTCAACAAGGGTAGATGTTTTAATCGTTGATTCATCTTGATAATTATGAGTTCGTTTCCTAGAGGTAATACTGGAGGTGGATGTCAATGAAGATATAACAGTATCTGATAGTTTTTTCTCAATGCTACTGGATGTCAAATTTGATAATTTTGATATTTCTGTACTTTTTGATGTAGTAAGTGATGATGTTGTAGATGATAATGTTGTATTAGATAACAATGTTGCAGACAATGAATTAGTTATTTCAGATTTCGATTTGGTTGTAGCAACTACAGATTTAGTCTTAACATTTTGTTTTGGTTTTGATGAAGATGACAGTGTCTTCTTTTTGATGTTTTAGTGGTTGTTGGTAGCTTAGATTTAGGGGATGTTGATGATCGAGTAATTGGGACTTTCTCTTCATATAATTCATCAAGATCAACTGAACTTACATTATTTGGATCTCTGATACTGCTATTATTATTGTTATTGGTTGATGATGATGATGTGTTACAATTATCACAGGTTTTTTGTATTCTGGAGGATAAAATTTCTCTCCAAAATACTCTAATAATTGTCTTCTACGACAATCTGTAATATCTCATCATTGAATCAAGATTTGATATTTTTTGAGATCCATTTTCTTGTTTACTTATCCATTTTTTTATTGAGCAATAATCTTCAACTGTATAAATAAGAACACATTTGGTATCATCTCCATCTCTGCCTGCCCTGCCTTTTTCATGATAAGAACTTTCTAGAGATTGTGGCAACATATAGTGAATCACAAATCACACATTGGGTTTATCAATGCCTTTATATACATAAATATTGCCAAAAGTAAAAATTAAGTAATGCTTGAAAATATATATATTAATAAATTAATAAAATTTGTATTTATCCATACCAAAAGCTGTGGTTGCAATAATGACATGTAAGTCTCCAGATTGCCATTTACTTTGTATATTTTTTCTAATGTTCTTTTTTAGACCTGCACGATAACACTTAGCTGAAACTCATGCACTTTCTAGATATCCTGCTATTTTAACTAATTAACTAGTGACAACAAGTGGTGATAACCACCACCATTCTTAAAACACTTACCCATATATTTTTTCAGCATCATTATTTTTTCTTTTTTTATTGTTAATACATTGTTGTGGCATTTTTTAAATTTTAAAAAAAAAGAATTGTTGATCGATTGACAAACATGTACAACATTAATTATTTATAGATTTTTTTTTTTTGTTGGTGCGAATTTATTTTTTGACAGACAAAATGTGGCTCTCCTAAAGAAGTAGTGTTAATAACTAACCAGAGGCACTATTTTTTATTTGTATTGATATAATGTGGTGTCTTTTAGTTTATAAATATTATAATTGGAATCAAAACACAGAGAGATCTTGCTGGGTAATTGCAAGATTCTTATCAAGATAGCAAACAAATAAATGATTGGTGTTATGCTTTTCATAATTGTTATCAATAATAACATTAATATTACTATAATTAATTACAAGATATCAAAGAAGCATGACTGACTGTTGCAGAAGAAACAATTCAAGTATGCAATGCTTGATTATTGGGAATTGTCAGGCATTAAAGCACTCACGCTACTTTGAACTTTACAGTCATTCTTCATGTACACAAGGCTAATCTGACCTGATTGATTGATGATACAATGATGCAACAGAATTCCAAGGGCATTGGAATTTACCAAGATTGAAGTCATTGAAAAATTAGAACAAAGTTCTAAAAACTTAGCTGAAGCAATAAATAAGGCTGAAGAATGAAAAAACTGACAAAAAGGTCTTTTGAATGATGAAATCAAACAAAAATCACTAATGTTGCAAAAGTCTGATAAAATGCTTGAAGAGGAAATTACAAAGAATGCAAGGTTACAAGAAGAATTAGCCCAAAAATTAGTAATGTTAAAAAAGGATGATCAGAGGTTTGAGTATGAAGCAAAAGAAGGAGAAAGACTAAAAACACAACTATATTTGGAAAGAAAACCCTTGCCTGCTCTACCTAAAGAAGAAACTAATACTTTAACTAAGCAAAACATTTTCAAGCAATTAAAAATAATGACAAGAGTCAAGGTTCAGCAGTTGCAGAAATTAATCAAAAGAAAGGAGTTTCACAGTCAAGCACTTGTTATTAAAATAGAAGTTCCAGTTAAGTAACCATGAGAGAACTACTCTACATGGTCTTAGAGTTAGAAGGATGACATAGCAGTAATTCTACTTGTGTTTTTTGCCCTGGTTTGAAAGAAGCAGTTTGTCAAATCAGAACACAAAACAAAGCAACTGGTGAAATGGTTGAAAGTGATAAGGCTTGTGAAAATTGAAGTTAAAGAAACTAAAAAATGACCTTGATTGAAATTAAAAGGTAATTAAAAAATTAACAAAGTTGAAAAAAAAGTAATTATTTGTTTTATCAAGTTATTCTGCCAGTTTTCTTTTTTTTTCTTGATTCTTTATTAGAATTCTCTAATACTCTTTTGAAAACTTTTTCCTCTTGGTAAATTTCATAAATAATCTTTTCTTTCCTTAGATAGGTTTCCAGTGTTTGAGTATCATTTATTTTGAAAATATAAGGTGCAATTTTTTCACCTTGTCCTTTCTTCAGAATACTTTTAATGGTGGTGTAATTTTTGGGTTCCATGGTAGACCTAATGTAAATTAGCTTATTTTTATCTAGATAAATATCATGATTACATTACATTGTAATACAATTGTGAATAAATAAACACTATTGATCCCTGAAATCTTTGGTAATACCAATGTTCACTTTGTCTGGTTTTGTTGCAGTATGCCCATATATTATTTTTCATATATGACCACACATAATTTTGATTTACATATTTGACTGACCACCCCAATGCTACACATGTCCAGCTTGTTTCACTCACTTGCCTGGTAACTACTTTGACAAAAAATTTTTTTTTCTTGGATTACAACACAGTAAATTGATATGAAATTGACACCTACATGATATAAAAAATTAATGGTATTGAAATTACTATGAAATTGGCTTCTGTAACATCTTGTGAATATGAACTGGCTAAAAAAATGGGTATTTGTAGAAGAAAACCCTAGTTTTGTCCCAGAAACACCCATATTATACAACAAATGGTGGTTTTTGCAATAGTTCAAAAGTCAATTCAATGCAATTTCTAGTTAAGAAATTCTTATCTTCCTCTAATACACAATTAATTAATATTTGGTGCTGTCTTTACAAACAAATGGATAATTCCATAAAGTTGGAATATTTATATTGTGCCATTGTTTGTTGAATGATATATTCAGAATGAAAGGGGCTCCAGCTCTTTTTATAAGAAAATATTAGTTAGTAAGCATCAAGATTGTAATTTACACTTGAAAAAGATCTATTCCTGCCACTAATCATTTTTAATATTAAATTAATGCTAATGCTGGCCAACTGCTCTTTGCCATTAATCACAGTAAATCATAAATGACTATCAGATGTAATTCATCATAATATTATATATATGTCATGAAATAATAAAATATATTATGTTATAAATCACAAACACATAAAATAATAAATGATAATAAATAATAATAAAAATCATGAAAATTAAAATCTTTCAGACTATTCTCCACTGATAACATCTATAATAATAAAATAATTTAAATATTATTAACTATTAAAAACCCTAAATCTTGATATTTTTCTAATATTTTTCTTCCATCATTTTCTAGCAAAATTTCATACTTATATTCATCAAATCTTATCATTAAAGGTTTGGGTCCTCTCCAATTATTCATTAGAATGTCCAAAGAATGATTACTAATATTATAAACTTCACAAGTAAAGGTTATTGACTTTAAATTTTTTGGTAATGTTTCATTTAATACTGTCAAAATTTTATCACAATCTAATATATCTTCATAAAATTTATCAATTCTAATACTTTTTAATTTAATACAATTATTAAGTATTTCCATTAATTCCTGGTCTAGTTCATCCTTATACATTATAGATAAATCTTCTAAATTTTTACAATTTTGCACAATTAATTGAAATAGCTCTCTCAAGAATCCATCAATATCATAACCATTAACATTCAGATTTTTAAGATTTTTTCCATTGATATTGATAAAATCAGAAACATTTGATATATATGGTTGACCATAAATATATAGACTTACAGATTCAATATTTGGCAATGAAATATTTTTCCAATTTATCATTTTGCTATTAATATTAATTGTTAACTCTAAAGTTTTTAAATTTTTGAAAGTTGGTAATAATAAATTATCAAAATTATTTTCATTGCCATAAGATTCATAAAAAATTATTGATTGTGAATGTGTTAATATTGCTTTTTTTAATTCATCTGGTAAAGTTTCTGATTTAATAATTAAATATTTAATTTGATCTTGTGCTTTAATTAGCTGTGCTAAATTATATGTGTTTTTATCATTACTTTCACCATATAATGTAAATGATTGAATATTTTTACAGATATTTGCTAATTTATCAAAAAATTCACCACTATCAGCATTATCACAATCTATTTTATAAAGATTCTGAAAACAATTACCAAATCTATGATGATTAATAAATAAATTATAATCTATATGATAATCTATATTAAGCTTTTTAATACCTGCTGAATGATCTAAAATAAAATTTCCTAATTTATTTCGTAAAATTTGTATAAGATTTAATGCTTTATTTTTTATTGGGCAATAAAAAAAATATTTCTTGAAAAATATAGTACAAAATCTGGCATAATTGTATAATGGTGGTTTTTCCAATAGTTCAAAAGTTAATTCAATGTAATTTCTAGTTAAGAAATCCTTATCTTCTTCTAATATACAATTAATTAATATTTTGATGCTGTTTTCACAAACAAATGGATCCTTCCATAAAGTTGAAATATTTATATTGTGCCATTGTTTGTTAACAAGAATACAAGAATATAATGCTTGGTAATCATCTTCAATGTATTTGAATATTTCAGTCAGAAGTTCAAGTGGCAAACAATTTATTATTTCAAACATTTTTTTAAAAATGATTTTGTTTGTTGCACAATGTAAATGAAAAAAATAATTTATTTTGGTTTGGAGAGCAAAAAGGCAGATTTATTGGTAATCATGTATTTTTCCGCAAAAATCATCTGCAATTGCCAAATCAATTTCTAAATAAGGATAACACGCACCCAACCCACCAATAAAATTGGATATTTACATGATGCTGCGCAAAATTGCAGATGATTTTTGCGGAAAAATACATGATTTTGATTGATGACAACTAATTAATAGTTTATATATGGGGAAATAACCAAATTATCAAAATGATAATATAATATATATATAAGTATGCATATTATTATATGTATATTATTTAATTAGAGGAATTATCGTTATATCAAAGTTGAGGTAATTAATTGTTTATGTGATTAGATATTGGAAATGATACATTCAGAGTCAAAGGCTCCAGCTCTTTTTATAAGAAAATATTATCAAGATTGTAATTTGCATTTGACAGAGGCCATCTCCTGCCACCAAACATCTTTAATATTAAATTAATGCTAATGCTGGCCAATTGTTCTTTATCATCAATAACAGTAAATTATAAATGACCATCAGATGTAATTCATCATAATATCATATATATGTGTAAGGAAATCCTTTTTCCTTACGTCAAAATACTAATTGTTTTAATTATTATTAAAAATACAAGCTATCTTTATTAATTACGGAAAGCTTATCTTTTTATACAAAATGCATAATATAATATGGGGCTA